TTCACATTTCAGCCAGAAGGGGCTCCATAAAGGGGACCTGGCTTGGCAGACGGCCTAGGACCAACGGAAGCAAAGATGGATTTATGGTCCCCCTCCTCGACACGTTGCCAGGCGGATTCAGCCACGTTCGCCAAGCAGGGAAGACCATCTACCATCCATCATCCACCATCTGCTACCCGAAGCCCAGCCTCTTCGGTACCGTGCACAGCATGCAAATCGAATAACCACAAACTGACAATATGCATTCGCATTCGCCTATCACAGCAATTCGAGAGGCGTAAACTACTTACTGACTATCAGTAGTCTACAGCCTTTCATACTCCAGCATCGACTTGCTGTCTGCTCATCAGGCAGTTTCAGAATTGTTTCTAAACTCTTTCGGACGTAGCTCATCTTCGTCCGTCATGGTGGTTTGCAAATTTGTGCATGAATATGTGCGTGAAAAGTGCCAAATTTGTCAACATTCCATTCGTAGCCAGGACATATCGGAAGCATTTCAATAGGAAATGTGCGGAGCCTCTTCCGACTGGGATGTTCACCAGACAGCAACTAGACATTAACACCTGCATAGCAACGTCACTGCACTTAATTACACTCTACTCCGTTCCGCTCCATCAAGCTCCAGGTAGACGACACATCGAATCGTATTCTTCCGATTCGATTTGGGTTGACGCCACTCCCAACATCACTTCATTCCACTCAGCTCAACCTAAGTCAGTTCGACTTGACTCAACTCAACTGAAAGCGACAAAATTGAACTTAACTCAACTCGATGCCTCTCCAATCGACTCGGCTCTGCCACTCCACTCAACCAAATCACACTAAACGCGACTTAACGACTCTTTATTCGATCCAACTCGAAAACTGTCACTGTTACTCTCACTTGATTCAACTCCACTTCACTCCACTCTCCTGTACTACACTACACCAAACGATGTTGGACTTGATTTGAATTGAATTAAATCTTGCCTAATTTACTCAGTTCGACACCATTTAACCCAAACCCACTGAACTACTCTCTACTCCATTCCTGTCCATTTCACAACACTTCACTTCACTCCATCCTAATCTACTCGACTTGAATGGAATGCAATTTACGCTTCTCCATTTTACTCTCTTCATTCTACTCCATCTTCCCCTACTATACTTTTTTAAACTACACTACGCTCGATTTGACTCATCTCTCCTTGAATCGACTCGGAAACTCTTTGGCTTCATTCCACTCCACTCGAAATGACACCATCTTCCCTTCTTCCAATCCGCTGCAGTGCAATTCACTTTGCTCCCATTCAATTAATTTCAATCTACTGCACAGCCCCCTACGCGAGTTGACTACAATTACAACCAATTTCATTGACATTTGACTCTTCTTTCTCCCGATTCTCGACTTTACTCCACTCCCCTACACTACAGTACACAACTGTGCGCAACACTGCGCGGCACTGCTTGAACCAGATTTGAGGATAATTGAAAGAGATTTGAATGTTTTCAAGTCAACTACATTTCAATCTAATCAGCATCACCCTACTCCTCTACACTCCCCTACACTTTGCCCGACTGTGATAGGCACTGTTCCATTGTACTCCCCTCTACTCAACTTTACTATACTATACTCCACTCCAAAAAACGACACTCCACTCCATTACATTCTACCGACTTTAATTAGAATTATAACGATTCGATTGCAATTGACTTTAATGTTTTCCTTTTCACAGCATTACAATACACTTGACCCGCATCCAATCGACTCAGTTCTACTTCAATCTACTCCATTCTATCCTCATAAGGTAAACTACATTATTCTTGACCATTTCATTGCACAACATTTCACCCCATTATATTTCATTATACTACACTAAACTTGACTCATATTGATTGGAGTGTTCTTCCCTTTATTCATTTACTCAAATAAACACAATATTACATTGGGCTATACCCAACTCCATTGCTCCATTCCACATTAAATAGTACATTAATACTTGAGTTACATAAGATTCATTCTAGATTTACATTACATTAACATTACATTAACATTAA